CATATGTTATTAAATGTAATTAGATTTGTATACACACAACCTGTATTAGTCAGCTCGAGGACCACTGTGTAAGCCTGTTCATTTGTGTGTTTTTATTTTAATGTTTATATAAAATCATATTCAATATATATATATATATATATATATATATATATATATATATATATATATATATATATATATATATATATATATATATATATATATATGCAATAAGATCACAGTAAACAGGTGATATTAAAAACAACATAGATTTAGTGGATAAATTAAGCTTTGACTGATTTAAATGATTTCAAAATGGTTAGTTTTGATGTTACTTCCTTGTTTACTAAAGTTCCAGTTGAAGATTTATTAAGTTTCTTATCTGAAGAACTTGTTAATTACGATTAACCATTGCCAGTTCCTACTATCATTAAACTTATTAAACTTTGCATTGTTGATGCAAAATTTGCATTTAATGATGAGTTTTATACTCAGAAGTTTGGTATGGGAATGGGAAATCCTCTTTCACCTGTTCTTAGTAACTTATACATGGAATTTCTTGAAACAAGACTTCTTAACTCAATCATTCCTAATAGACCTATGTGGTTTAAATATGTTGATGATATAGAAAAATGAGAAAGGAGGAACACTGCAGTAGGCCTATTGGCCCACTACTAGAAAGGTCCTTCTCAAATAAAAACCCACTAACAAAAATATTTACCCAACCCATTTTCAATGCTACCCACGCAGTAAAAAGTATGAAGTATTATTACCAATTAAGAAGGGAAGCATGTCGACCCAGGCTGAGCTGGTGATAACATCTGTGATGCCCCGAGTCACAACATTGTTCAGGGCAGGGTGGTAGTGACCTATGTCGAAGCAGATCTGTTGTGGAGCACAGTGGACATGGCAATCTCCAGTATTATTATTATTATCATTATTATTTATTATTATTAAAGATAATTGGTGAATAAGAAACATTACAGTTGTAGCGGTCTCACACAGAACTATAAATGAACTAGAACTACGAGTAGTTATAAGTGAACAATTACTTGGCATAAAAAAATATGTTCCATACTTGTCAAAATTTGATTAACCTGTATTTGATTAGCCTGGAGGGGCTCTGGTGGCCTGGTGGTTAACGCTCTCGCTTCACACGGTGAGGGCCTGGGTTCGATTCCCAGCCAGATTAGAAACATTGGACGTGTTTCTTTCCACCTGTTGTCTATGTTCTCCATCAGTAAAATGGGTACCTGGGTGTTAGTCGACTGGTGTGGGTCGCATCCTGGGACACTGACCTAAGGAGGCCTGGTCACAGACCGGGCCGCGGGGGCGTTGACCCCCGGAACTCTCTCCAGGTACATTTTGACCCCCTTTTGGGGGTTTGTCTTCATGTGCATTATTAATGACCATTCATTACACTTCAGTTATTCATATATATATATATATATATATATATATATATATATATATATATATATATATATATATATATATATTTTTTTTTTATTATTATTAACACACTGGCCGATTCCCACCAAGGCAGGGTGGCCCGAAAAAGAAGAAAGGCTTTCATAAGGCTTTTCTTATTTATACATCCATTAATGCGACAGGAGAAGAGGTTACTAGCCCCTTGCTGCCGGCAATGGAAATAATCACAATCAGAAAATAAAAAAAAATACCCAAAATGAAAGATAATCTAAAATAAGATTGACCTGGGAATGAAATATTATAATCACCTGGGAGCGGTAAACTCTTATGGTCATACAGTGCCTGAGCAATCTGAGATAATCAGGTACAACAAGGAATGGGAAGAGTGGCTTCAATTCTTCAGAAGAATCCTTCACTGAAGCAAGACATATTCCTTCCTTGAAGAGCCGGGAGGTAAACACTAACCTGGAGTGTGAAGGTCACACCGAAGTCTGTGGTGAAGATAGCAGTGTCGTCACTCTCAGTGCCGGGTAATACAGGATACTCGCCGAACAGATTCTTCTTGCGGTACCTGTAAGTAGAGTTTTTGTGTGATTGCTCTAAAACATAAGAATGGAGGAACACTGTAGTAGGCCTACTGGCCCAAACCAGGCAGGTCCTTCTCAAAATCATCTAGAGCGATCAAAATTATTTACAATACGTAGTATAAGACATTCATATATAGCAGGGATCCAAGCGTTGATCCTTGGAGGACTCCACCCACTTTTATAGCAGGGATCTAAGCGTTGATCCTTTGAGGACTCCACCCACTTTTATAGCAGGGATCTAAGCGTTGATCCCTGGAGGACTCCACCCACTTTTATAGCAGGGATCTAAGCGTTGATCCTTTGAGGACTCCACCCACTTTTATAGCAGGGATCTAAGCGTTGATCCCTGGAGGACTCCACCCACTTTTATAGCAGGGATCTAAGCGTTGATCCTTGGAGGACTCCACCCACTTTTATAGCAGGGATCTAAGCGTTGATCCTTGGAGGACTCCACCCACTTTTATAGCAGGGATCCAAGCGTTGATCCTTGGAGGACTTCACCCACTTTTATAGCAGGGATCCAAGTGTTGATCCTTGGAGGACTTCACCCACTTTTATAGCAGGGATCCAAGCGTTGATCCTTGGAGGACTCCACATGTAAACTTATTGTATAACATCAGGTCAGGTTAAGAACGAGGTGAGGACCTGGATTATGTGACCTGTGCTGATGTACAGGTGTAGGTGAGGTCATTTGCTGACACGTGACCTAAAAGAATTTAGACGAAAGATTCTGTAAGCACGAACAGGGACCATACATGATGTTAGTGCCTCTCTGCCCAAATTCTTCTACACCTCCTGCCAGCAAGTGTTTTAACCAGAGTAGCAGAACAAATTATGCAACTCAGGTTCTCGCCAGCTCTCTACCTCACCAGAAGACCTATGGAAGGAATATCTTACATATTTTTATACATGATTAAGTTTCCCTTCAGTGAAACGTTGTTATAATTGTTTGTTGTTTTGGTTCCCTCCATTAATTATTCAGTTCACTTCCCTTCCTCCTGTGTTATTACTGAAGGGAAGCACCTTTGATCTTTCTCTAACGCTTGTCTCTCTTTGTACATACTTTCTCTACAGTTTAGTGCTTGTTTTTTTAATAATGGTAGGGGTGGGAGAGTTATTCCTGTAAAACATGACAGTCTCCATGTGTGGCACTCAAGTATGAGGAAAGTGACAGGGTCGTACATAAGTAATGGTAAGGCCACCCTCTACAATTTGTTGGAATTATTATACCAGTTCAATTCTGATACTATCGTTTCTTCTGCTAAACAAAAGCAGTCTAACAGAAGAGATTGACTACACTGCCGCTCCTGCTGTTATCTAAGTGTGAATGAAGATAATGATTCTATTTTACCAATTAATTCAATGACCTACCTTGCAATCACTGTGCCGTGCCTGTCATAGACGACCTGCGTGTTGTAGTAGATATAACCTGTGTCTGGACACTCGTATGCTGTGTCTAAAGAGGTCTTGAAGGGGTAACTTTCAGCTGTGTCATTCCTGCAAGGGCTCGCCTCAATCAGGTCTGCCACTAGATATATCTCATTCTCCAGAGCAGCACAGCTCAGGGTCCTCATGGCCTGGGAAGACAAGACATATTGCAGAACAAGCTTCTATTGGGACTATGTTTTCCTCTGTGTAGAGCAAAACAGAGTTTGCTTGCTTGTCCTCTTAAAAGAGCATGGTTCACAAGTGTCTAATTCATCATCCTGTCAGTTCTCTGAACCATTAATCTACATACAAAGAAGCCTTCACGGTGAGGTCGTATATTCCCATCCCTTTGGTCATCCAGTGATATAACCTTAACAAATACCTGGAGTATATAATCTCAATAAAGCTGCTACAACTTCGAACTACTGCTGAAGGCAACTGAAATTACAGACCACTGTCTCCCCTCTGGCTACCCTGACCTCGATGTTTCCGGGGTCGATATCCAAGTCACAAGGGACAGCCTTTAAATCGGGGTTCGGGACGAACTGCGCCATGGTGAAAAATTCGTCGTCAAGCTGAAATATCATCAGGCTTGGAACACCATACTCCGGAGCCACCAGGAGGTCTGCACCCTGCAACATACACTCACAGTTACTGTTGTCCACACCTGTAATACATCATGTAAATACTGCAGTCCACCTAGGCAATACAGAGAACAAGAACTAAGCTCGAGACTTATAGATGTGACTTATTTTTTATGCACTACAACATTCAGATGCAGTTTGGTCTGCACTTTCCAGGGAAGAGAATTTAATCCAAAACATGGATTTTGTTGACCTGACAGAGCTGTTAATTAACTAGAGCTTCTTCAGCTATGAAAAAAATATGTGTGTGTGTGTGTGTGTGTGTGTGTGTGTGTGTGTGTATTATATATCTAATCACAACTTGAGTTTTAAGGTGTGAGACTAAGTATACTGGCAGGAACTTCTGGGGCTGTGGGAGGAGACAGTTGGGTCATAGATGTCGCTGCTGACTGAAATATGAACGCAAATTATTTTTTAAATCTTCCAGTTAAAGTCTCGTAGTTCAGCGGGAAAGCTCTAGACCTGCTCCATATTCAAACCTCCTATCGTCTTCTTTTTATTCACCTTAAACCCTCTGGCCATTCCTACCGAGGTAGTATGACCCGACTAAGAAGAAGCACTTTCACTGTCACTTATCCAATCACTGTCATGCCAGATGCACGCCAACACCAGAGTTCAGATGTCCCTCCAAACTGCAACATCCCCACCCGTCCTCTTGGGGAAAACACTTCATTTATCATGAGACTTTTAGTGCACTTTCGCATGAATTCCAAATGAATAAACTGATTTCTTCCTTTCCTTTCAGCCTAAGAAGGAGAGGATATGCTCCTACACCTCTTCAAAACTTGCTAGAACTCAACCATCCACAACACTTGAGTACTTACCTCAGCCCTGGCCAGGGCAGCATACTCAGCCAAGATACGAGAGTTCTCTCTGATGATGGTTACCCCATCACCAGCTTCATTCCACTCATTGTTTGGTTCATATTCCAGTACTGCCGCCACGTACACCACTGGAGAACCTTCCGCCACCCACACCTCACCTGCCGGGTGAAGGAGAACCAGGTGAGAGACTAGTAAGAATAATCCTAGATAGAGATTTCAATATGCTGCTAAATAAGGTTAAATCTACTGTTAAATAAGGTTAAATCTACTGTTAAATAAGGTTAAATCTGCTGTTAAATAAGGTTAACTCACTTTGCGTCTTGTGCCTGTTGTGGAAGAGTCTGGAGAGCATCACCAGCGGCACCAGGAAGCCGACCAACAGCTTCATGCTGATAATACTCTCTACGAGGTATCTGGTAACGTGTACAAGAGTAGTTCTATCGTGCACAATTATCCTATCGTGTATAAACGTCCTTGTATCATTTACTAAAGTCCTTATGTAATTTACAAAAGTACTTCTATCGTTTGCAAAAGTATTTGTATAGTTTACTAGAGCTGTCTATCGTCGACAATTCTTCTAGGTTTACTGGGCTCTGTCCATAGTGGTGTATATATATATATATACTCCTGTGAGTTTATCAGCCCGGTGTAAGTGTCCGTACTAGGGTTAGTTCTGTATAAGGTCACCCTGATACCAATAATGGTCCCATTCCCAGTCACCCAGATACCAGTGTCGGTTCTGGCCACGGACCCAACTGGCTGATTAGCACAGGAGAAGTGGTAAATCGGTAAGAGCCTGGGGAAATTGAAGGTAATGAAATATGATCCAAGATGGCAGCCTCAATTTCTGTATTCAAAAACCAGTGTGGTGTGTGTGTGTGTGTGTGTGTGTGTGTGTGTGTGTGTGTGTGTGTGGAGAACAGATGGAGGCATTTCCACAAGTACATTCCCTTTTCAGTATATATTCTTCTTCTTCTTATTATTATTATTATTAGTAGTAGTAGTAGTAGTAGTAGTATTATAAGTTAATGAGCAACAAGTATTTAAGACTAGCTCACATACAAATGATAAATTTACATAGAGGGACAATTGTCTAGCAGGAAAATGAAAAGTATAATAAAAGGAAATGGTGCGGCATCGTACTGTTTATCAATGTGAATGTCCTCGCTCAACACCACCCTCTCTCGTATCTTACTCTTCACACACTGTGTATGTTCTCACACATGTTCGTTCTCAAGACATGTATATACTAATACATTATTGTATGTTCTCAGACAGACATACATGTGCTGTTTGTATACAAAGGAAAGGGGGAGATTCGTTATGTATTAATGTTGTGTGTGGTGAATGGTTGTGGAGTGTTTAGTGTGTGAGAGGCCACTAGGCTGGCCTATAGCCACCAGTGTGTTATCCACTGTACCATGCTGGCTAGGATTCACCATATTACCTGTTGTTCTGATGCTCTACGCCTCTAGGTATTGACACTTAACACGCTCTCCTGACATATTACATTATGTGCAGGTGATACTAGGTTAGGCCACGTCTCTTACTAGTGCTTGGACGATGGCCCTACCTTGTCGGCTTCGATGGTTAACACTACTCCCCTAACACCTAACCTTAGGCACTGCAGTGACGTTGTTAGGTTGAAGCCTGAAGCCGGTATCGATGGCTTCATTGAAGATAATGTCATTGAACATCTCTACTTCTTTCGTCACATTGGCCACGTTGAATGTCACCTGACTTGACCATCACTCGTCCTTAATTAAGTTCTACTTGTGAACTCTATCTGTGGATAATGTCCACAGTGTGGAGAATTACTAGCGATACCTCGCTGAACAGAGATAACTATTGGTTAGCATTTCAATCTTGTATCTTTCCTTCAGTTCTCCTTAATATTAGTTCGAACACAATAAGTGACGTGGAGAATATAATGTTCTGTCATGGTTTACTTGCTAACATGTCCTTGATTATTCTTGGCTGGGAAAATTTCTGGTGCTCATGTGCATAGGAGAGTTACGTATTTGTAAAGGACCCCAATGGAAATAAGTCAGTCTGTCTGACTTTTTTTGGGGTTATCCTAGGTTCTCTACACATATGCTGCTATGTATGATAATCTATGTAACTGTATTTGTGTATACCTGAATAAACTTACTTACTGTTGTATCTTCCACAGTTCTTCCTGGAGACTGTCGGTGTATGACTCGAGTTTCACGAAGTACACATGGATACATCCACGAATATTTTTACGTTGAAGCTACGAATATTATTTCTACATTTCAACATGGCGTGGTCTCGCCGGCGACACTCGGTCATTCGTTACATCATCATTGATAGATTTCATTTCTCACAATCCCAATCCAGTCTAGCTCTTGGAGCACCCAGCACCTCTATAGTCGATTTCTTTTATTCTACGAGTGTAAGTGCCAGTTCTGACGACCTAACTGGATCAAAGAGTGCGGATTCCTTGGCTCCAAGGTGTGAGCTGTAGAGTATAATGCCACTAGCTCTGTTACTGAGGCATATTATTAGAAAGTTTTACTGGTCTTAGCAAACAGAAGCTACCTCATACAAACATCTGAATATATTGCAAATTATCTCACTAGAGCAGAGACCTGGCTGTACACATGCAAAGATTATGTTTCCATTGTATTTTTTTTTTTATTTGCCCGCCGGTCTCCCAAGCCAGGTTACAATTTGTTGGATTTGAACCCGGGGGTTACCCAGGATACCGAGAAAGTCGTCGTCATCGAGGACTGTACAATTATCCCTTCTATCTTTCCCCCATGCACTCCACAGCCAGCCACTTTCACCGCCCTACGGGGCTGTAGGTGGAAGCAGGACTGGTCTGGCAATGAAACGCGTCCGGAAATGTTCTCAGCGCGGGAACAACGCTATGGCCTGCAGTTGGAAGCAAGGCTAGCCACCATTGTATCTGACCTTCAATCTGGTTCCAATATCTGTGAGTGTCTGAGATTTTCTCCCAAAATGTTCATGTATGTCTAGGCTTTTTACCCCTTATCTTTTTGGTTGGACCAACTGTACAGGCCTAACTACACATTACCCCCAAGGGACTAAAGGATGAAGAGTCCTTGGTCTGCCATCTGCCCCGCCCTAAAAGGGCTCGTGGGGATGGCAGTCTTATGAGCTGCAGATGGTAGCAAGCTCAGGCTATTCCATTGTATCTACTCTTAATCTAGATCTAATTTACTTGGAGTCTAAATTTTTCCTCCCCAAAATGTTCATGTATTCTAGCGGCTTTTTTTTTTTTTTTTTTTTTTGGTCTTGACAATATTTAGTTACATGTTAACTACACATTACACTGTACAAAGAAATAAAGGATTTGATTAGATTTCATGGTAAGGAAAACATGATAAGATATATACATGTTCTGATATGGATTAATGATGCTTCGTTACGAGACACGAGATCTTCCTTCATCTCTATTAATAGAAAGAAGAGGTTGTGACCCCCTTAGCCCACACCTACACTGCCTTTGTGGGAACGTAGAGGGGGGCTTAGCCCCATTGATGGAGAAATTTCTCCACACACACAGCAACCTAGATAAAGTTTTCATTTTTTTCCTTTTACTTATTTTCCTCCTTTTATTTTCATTTTCCCCCTCTCCCACATTTTCCCTTTCCACTCCTTTTCTTTTTGTTATCTTTTCATTTTCCATTTCCTTTTCCTTTCCCCTTTTTTCCTCTCCTTAATATTCACTCATTTTCCTTTTTTTAATGCATCTTTTCCTGTTTTCTTTCAACTTTTTTTCCTTTCCCCTCATCTTTTTCTTTTTCTTTAACTATTCCTTTCTGTTCCTTCCTCTAGTCATACACATTTACACAAGTCTGCCATGATCCGTTTTCTGTCACGATAAACAAAGAAATTACATAAACTTATGGGTAACTAAAGTATTGTGTTCGTCGGGTCATCGTGGATACACTGGACCGTTCTCAGTTATGTGAATATTTTTATCGGTTGAATCCTGAGGACAGGATTAGCATCGACAGCTGAAACTACAACAGAAGCAACAGCAACAACAGTGGAAACCTCGGCAATACCGTCAGTAGTAGTTTCATCAATCAACGGCAACGACAGTAGTGACAACAGAAGGACTTGCAACAGCGGTGATGGAACCAGCGACAGCAGCTGCAGTGACAACAGCAGAAACATAGACACTAGCAAGAGCAGCAGCAGTGACACTAGCAACAGCAGAAACATTGACACTAGCAAGAGCAGCAACAGTGACACCAGCAACAGCAACAATGACAACAGTAACCCCAGAAGCAGTGACGCTACCAACAGGAGTAGCAGTGACACTAGTAACAGCAGTAGCAGTGACATTAGCAACAGCAGTAGCAGTGACACTAGCAACAGCAGCAGCGGTGACAGTAGCAACAGTAACGGCACCAGCAGACAAGCAGTGGTAGTCAGACAAGCAGTGGTAGAGTCAGACAAGCAGTGCTTGAACCAAACAAGCAGTGCTTGAGTCAAACAAGCAGTGCTTGAGTCAAACAAGCAGTGCTTGAGTCAGACAAGTAGTGCTTGTGTCAGACAAGTAGTGCTTGAGTCAGACAAGTAGTGCTTGAGTCAGACAAGTAGTGCTTGAGTCAAACAAGTAGTGCTTGTGTCAGACAAGTAGTGCTTGAGTCAGACAAGCAGTGCTTGAGTGAGACAAGTAGTGCTTGAGTCAGACAAGTAGTGCTTGAGTCAGACAAGTAGTGCTTGAGTCAAACAAGCGGTGCTTGAGTCAGACAAGTAGTGCTTGAGTCAGACAAGTAGTGCTTGAGTCAGACAAGCAGTGCTTGAGTGAGACAAGTAGTGCTTGAGTCAGACAAATAGTGCTTGAGTCAAACAAGCAGTGCTTGAGTCAAACAAGCAGTGCTTGAGTCAAACAAGCAGTGCTTGAGTCAGACAAGTAGTGCTTGAGTCAGACAAGCTAGTGCTTGAGTACAAACAAGCAGTATGCTTGAGTCAAACAAGCAGTGCTTGAGTCAGACAAGTAGTGCTTGAGTCAGACAAGTAGTGCTTGAGTGTCAGACAAGTAGTGCTTGAGTCAGACAAGCAGTGCTTGAGTCAGACAAGTAGTGCTTGAGTCAGACAAGTAGTGCTTGAGTCAGACAAGCAGTGCTTGAGTCAGACAAGTAGTGCTTGAGTCAGACAAGTAGTGCTTGAGTCAGACAAGTAGTGCTTGAGTCAGACAAGTAGTGCTTGAGTCAGCCAAGTAGTGCTTGTGTCAGACAAGTAGTGCTTGAGTCAGACAAGCAGTGCTTGAGTCAGACAAGTAGTGCTTGTGTCAGACAAGTAGTGCTTGTGTCAGACAAGTAGTGCTTGAGTCAGACAAGCAGTGCTTGTGTCAGACAAGTAGTGCTTGAGTCAGACAAGGGAGACAAAAAAAAGTCTGAAGGGAATCCAAGAAAGTTTTAACTCGTCCATTAGAGAAGAAAATGAGAAAAGTTTCTCATGGGGACTGAAACTTCGACGTGTGACGGTGGGGAGACAGGTCACCCCCACAGGTAGCAGGTCACCCCCACAGGCAGCATGTCACCCCCCCCACAGGAAGACAGGTATCAAATCACTCGCACAAGAAGACAGTGGGGTCAGAGTGCACACATTGTGGATTCCATCTCACATTGATCTTCATATACATTATAAAGCTGATTTGAAAGAGGAAGTAGATACAATCCCTCCAACACCACATTCCTACCAACCAGCAACACCCCACCAGTACCAACACCAGAGAACACCACATCCACCACACCAGAA